TGTGTGTGTGTGTGTGTTGTTTTAATTTAATTTTTTTAACAAAAAAACATTTTCCACCCTAAATATGATTTTACTCCAACGAATGTCTGTATTGCTCTTTGTCTTTGATTGCAGGTTTCAATGGAACCATTGGACAACATAAACGTAAGATATATTTTAATTTTTTTGCATCATTGTAAACAGTCTATGTTTTGAAACAAAAAGTCCCGAAGAAGAAAACAATGTTTTTGTCAATGTGTCAATCAGCGTGACTATGTCAGTCAGTGTTTCTCAATGTCGCGTGTGTTACAGCTGTTAGTTGTGAGGTGAAACTTTGAATTTGAATGTTTTCTTTTAACATACATATTTGTCTTGTGTAGTTGAGTATTTGAGGAGAAAAGGCTGTTTTTTACAAATTGAAAAAGGTGGTTTACTGAACACTTTAAGGACGTAGCAGACAAGGGTTATATGCCCGATCGGCAACGGACCAAAGGCGTTGATGTGGCTCATTACGAACCACCATGCACGAATCAGAAACATAAGTTTGCATAGTTCATAGTATGCAAGTTGTAGTCTGCCTTTTTAAGCTTCAGATAAAAGCAAACAGAATGACATTTCTGCATGAATGAGGATAAGTTTTCTTTTCTAAAGTGATGTCAAAAAGTGCGTCTTCAAACAAATGACCAGAATAAGCGTCTTCAGTGAGTTAACAAGAAGTATCTGGAATGCTTTGCCGAGTAGTTTAAGAGAGATCAAACTCTTTAATTCATTCAAATGTCAACTAAAATAGAATCTGTTTTCAAATTAATGAGATGAACATTTAGAGAGAGATTTTCTTTTAGTCTGAACACAATGTATTGATTGTATGTCACTGTTGCATTGTTAAGCGCCTTGAGCCTGTGTGGGGGCTCTCGTGGCCTAGAGGTTAAGGTGTTGCCCTCTCCTTCAAAGGTTCCGGGTTCGAATTCGGTTAGTGACCGAATTTTTTTCTCTCTAAAATTGTCTCCTTTCATCTCCTTTCCTGCTCTCTTGCAATGTTATGTCGTCCTCTTTCGTCTCCACTTACTGCTCCCATCCCCCTCACCTCCTTTGCCCCCTCCTCTGGGCTCCTGACTCTTTCTGCAACCTTTCTACTGCTACTCCTTGGCTCCTTCTTACTGCTGATTTCAGCCACTTCCCTGACAACTAGCCTTTTCAGACAAGGGCGAAAAATCTCGGACGGCCCGTGTGCAAGTTGTGCACGTTAAAGATCCCTTGGTGGTCAAAAATCGATAAGAGTAGGCTTTGGCCGCCACCCGGGCAAAATTTAAAATTTCCTACCAATGTAAAAAGTTAAATGTGTCCCGCGCACTCATATGATCTTAAGCAGTTGTGAGCACCGTAAAACTCTTACTAAAAAAAAAGACCCTGTGTACTTTAATCGAGGTTGAGCGTTATATAAATGCAATAATATATTGTTATTATTATTATTACTATAAGCAGTAGTCTGGAGTGGAAGCGGGGTCATAAAGAACTGTAAGGAAGTGATGACAGTGCTCGTTTTGAAAGGATTCAGAAATATATAAAGTTACTCTTTTCCTTATTATTCCTGTTGCGTTCTATTTTTCCCAGCGAGAAAAAGACATTCTGAGCTTTTACTTTGTGTTCAGTGACCTAAGACCTGCATTTATCGCTTCTTAAGTATTTTGCTTTTTTGTTTATCGACTGTCCCAGAATGGCTTTTCTAGGCACTGACTCATTTGATGAGATGAACAGTAATCACTGTAATTGTGTGCGAGTGTGTGTGTGTGTGTGTGTGTATGTGTGTGTGTGTGTGTGTGTGTGTGTGTGTGTGTGTGTGTGTGTGTGTGTGTGTGCATGTGCCTGGGTGTGTATTCTTTGTCAAATTACATGTGTATATGTAGGCTATTTGAAAGAACTGATGATCTTTGAATGGGTAGGAAACTTTGATTCATGTCTTTTTTTTTCTTTTTTGTTGTTGGGGTTGTTGGGGTTTATTATTGGTCTTATGGAAGCGCCTTGAGCCACTACAGAACTCCAGAATGAATGCCATAGACATGCTATTTCTTTATAACTAACTCATTTGATTTCCTTCAAATTTATCTTACTTGATTTTTATCTTTTATTAAAATTTGCAATCTCCAGGTGTGTGCCCGTACGGTGGTAAAGAATATAACACTGGAGACGAATGGCAGGATGGCTGTGAGAAGAAATGCAAGTGTATCGATGCCAACTTCGGCTACTATAAGTGTGACCCGCTGTAAGTCTCGTCAGTTCTTCTGTCTGTCTGTCTCTCTCTGCCTCTCTGTCTCTGTCTATTTCTGTCTGTCTCTCTCTCTCTCTCTCTGCCTGTCTTTCTCTCTCTCTCTCTCTCTCTCTCTCT